TTTAATGAATACCTTTTTCGACAAATGATTTTGAAACAACTGGACATCTATATGCTAAAAAATGAAACTCCACCTATATTTCACAGCTTCTCCAAAAAAATAAAATAGGTCACAGATCTCAATGTAAAAGATAAAAATATAAAACTTTTAGAAGAAAACAGGAAGAAAATCCTCGTAACCTGGGATTTCAAAATTCTTAGACATGACACCAGAAGCATGATCAATTAGACTATATCAAAACAGAGCATTCGGGCTTCAAAAGGCACTGTTGAGAAAGTGAAAATCATACAAAAAGAAAATATATTCAAATCATAGATGATAAAGGACTTGTCTCCAGAATATATATAGGAACTCTTATACTTCAATATTAAAGAGGCAGATAACCCATTAAAAATGGGCAAAGGATCTGAATAGACATTTTTTTCAAGGAAGATACACAAATGGTCAATAAGTACAAGATGTTCAACATAATTAGCCATCAGAGAAATACAAATGAAAACCACAGTGTGATACCACTCCACATTCACTAGGATGGCCAAGATCAAAAAAATCACATAATAAGTATTAGCAAAGATGTGGAGAAACTGAAACTCAAACTGCTGGTGGGAATGTAAAATGGTGAAGCTTTGGAAAACAATCAAGCATGATTGCAAGAGAAGGCAATGGCACCCCACTCCAGTACTCTTGCCTGGAGGATCCCAGGGACGGGGGAATCCGGTGGGCTGCCATCTATGGTGTCGGACACGACTGAAGCGATGTAGCAGCAGCAGCAAGCATGATTGGAAAACGAACAATCCTCCTCAAATGATTAAACGTAAAGTTTTTTTTAAACTTGAGATTACACTCCTCTGTAAGGAAATATACTGCTAAGTCACTTCAGTCGTGTCCAACTCTGTGTGACCCCATAGATGGCAGCCCACCAGGCTCCCCTATCCCTGGAATTCTCCAGGCAAGAACACTGGAGTTGGTTGCCATTTCCTTCTCCAGTGCATGAAAGTGTAAAGTGAAAGTGAAGTCGCTCAGTTGTGTCTGACTCTTAGCGACCCCATGGACTGCAACCTACCAGGCTCCTCCGTCCATGGGATTTTCCAGGCAAGAATACTGGAGTGGGGTGCCATTGTAGATGTACATAACAATGTGTAGTTGAATGTTTACAGCATAATTATTCGTAGTAGCCAAATGGTGGAAACCTCCCAGATGTCCATCAACTGACAAATGGATAAATATGTGGTAATCATACAATGGAATATCATCCAGCCAGACAAAAAGAATGAAGCTCTGACATTCTAGAATATGGATGAACTTCTAAAAGCTTATGTAGGTTAAAGAAACCAGAAACAAAAGACATTATGACTCCATGTATATGAAATATCCATAAGAGAAATCTGAGGTGAAAAATAGTGATTGCTTGGGAGGGTCGGGTATATGTGTGGAGGGTGATAGTTAAGAAAATACAGGTTTCATGGATTTCCCTGGTGGTCCGGTGATTGAGAATCTGCCTTGCAATGCAGGGGACCTGGGTTCAATCCCAGGCAGGGAACTAAGATCTCACATGCCACAGGGCAACTAAGCACGGCAATGAAGACTCAGCACAGCCAAAATAAAATTATAAGAGAAAAAGTATGGGTTTGGTTTTTTTGAGGTGATGAAAATCAAAGTTGACTGTGGTGATAGTTGAATATATGACTATACTAAAAACCACTGAGAAATTATATACTTTATATGAATAAAGTATATGGGATGTAAATTATCTCTCAAAACTTTTAAAAAGGATTACCTATGATTCTATTTCAATGAAATTTTTGAAAAATATAGAGGCAGAGACTAAAATCAGTGGACCCCAGGGTCTGACGGAGGACATGGCAACCCACTCCAGTACTCCTGCCTGGAAAATTCCAGGGATGGAGGAGCCTGGTGGGCTGCCGTCTATGGGTCGCACAGGGTCGGACACGACTGACGCGACTTAGCAGCAGCAGCCAGGGTTTGAGGCAGGGTGTGACTATAAAGAGAACATTAAAGAAATTTTGTGGTGATTGAACTGTTCAGTTTCCTGATTTTGGAGGTGTTCACACATACATCTATGTAAGTTAAAATTTACAAAACTACAAACAAGTTAATTTTACTTATGTTTATTCAAAATATTAAAAAAAAGAGTTTTAATGTCAAAAAGATAAACCAATTAAAAGAAACAAGTCTCTTCCCCATTCATCCTTTAAGTTATTGGGCAAAATGAACACAGGTATCTTGCCAAGGGGTGTGCCTGGGCTGCAGTGGACAAGTGGGGCATCAGAAACCAAGCAGATGAGACGGGTACATCTGCTTAGCACAGGGTGTTGGGAGACTGAGCAGATTGAGATAGGCATTCACACGGGAAGATGACCTAGAATGGCAAACCAAATACATTAAGGGTAACAAGAATCGGGTATCTCACTATACAATGGGAGAGAGCAAAATGAACCCCATGGGATCAGAAGTCAAGTTTAAGTGTCAACTCCTGGTTTTCAACATACATGTAGACATAAATGTACAGATGTAAACATATGCATAATACACACACAAACAGCAACTTCTCACTAACAGACAGATCCTGGTTTCTAAACACCATTCTTCACTAGAGAACCAGGACTCCTTGGAAAAATGGCTGATTCTTGGCCAAGGGTAGGGAAAACATAATAAGCCTGGAATATCTTATGCCAGAGAATCAGAAATTGCTCAAATAATAATGGGAACATGTCAAAAGGACATAAAAGCCATCTACAAGGAGTTTCCACTGGCCAAATCTAGAAAAATTTTGAGGGTCAAAGTAATGGAAATAATAGATTTTTACCCAATGAATAAAGTGGAAATAATGAGTGTGTATTACATAAGACATAAAGCTTGATGAGAAACAAGGTAGAACTTGGAAACTACATCACACAAAATATACTTAGTCATAAGCATGAAAGAATGGCTTTGTAGTGGAGAAGATGGACAGACACCACTTCATCAATGATCTAAGTACAGTTGTCCCTCAGCTTCTGCAGCTTATTGGTGCCAGCAATCCCCTCAGACAAAATCCACAGATGCTCAATAATATGACCTAACGTTTGCATATAATCTACCTACATCCTCCCTGATACTGTAAATCACCTCTAGAGTTATAATACCTAATAAAATACAATGTAAATACTATGTACATAGTTATAAACACAACATAAATGCTATGTAACTAGTTTCCTGTTGCAAGGCAAATTCAAGTTTTGCTATTTGGAAGCTTCTACACTTTTTTTTTTTCTATCCTTGGTTGATTGAATCTGAGAATTTGAAAACCACCAATATGGCAGGCCAACAGTAAACACCATCAGAAAAAGGGCGAACTGTAACCAGTAACTTGTGATAGGATGCAGTAAGAACACAGTATCACTTCTCTTCTGCAACGGTCTGTCAAAGATTCATAACCTGATTCTCATCGTGTAGAAATATCAGACAAAACACACCGTAATAGATGTTGTACAAAACGAGCCTGTGATCTTTGAAAGTGTCACGGCTATTAAAGTCAAGGTTAATATGAAGACTTTTTCCAGTCTGAAACATACTAAAGACCCATGAAAGCAAAAGGTGAGGAATGGGGAATTCCCTGGCAGTCCAGTGGTTAGGATTCATTACTTTTGCTTCTGGGAGCCTGGGTTCAATCCCTAGTCAAGGAACTAAGATCCCACAAATGGTGCAGCACAACCAAAAAAATAAAACAAAACCAAGGCGTGATTCTGACTGGATCCTTTTGCTATAAAGAACATTACTGGTACAATAAGCAAACTTGAATGGAATAAACGTCCAGAATTAGGTGGTCATAATGTGTCAGTGCTAATTTCCTGATTCTAATGGTTGTATTTGAAGCTATGTAGGAGCATGTCCTTTGAAGGAAATACACACTAAAGTACTCAGAGGTGATGGGGCATCATGTTATCAACTTACACACAAAACTGAAGAATCAGGAAGAAAACAATTCTGTGTGCTTTACTTGTAACTTCTCTATATATTTGAGACTATTCAAAATATTTAAAATTAGAAAGGACATAAAAAGGATGAAAGAAAATTTCAAGACAATTCATACCTATATGCCTGGATCAATGAAGATCAAAATGATGTCACTGAGTTATACTCATTGACTGTGTTTCTTCTCACTAACAAAGGATTCACCAATAACCAAATTTGCTTCAGTGTTTCTCTTTTGCATTAGTCTATTCTTATTGATATGTTTTTAGCGACTTTTCAATTTCTTGACATAAAGGCATCTCTCAAAGAATAATATACTAATTCAGAAATTTTCAGTAACTCTTTTTTTTTTTTACATTTATTTTTATTTATTTGGCTGCATAGAATCTTAGTTGTGGCATGTGGGATCTGGTTCCCTGACCAGGGATCGAACCCAGCCCCCCTTTATCAGGAGTGTAGAGTCTTAGCCACTGGACCACCAGGGAATTCCCTCAGTAACTCTTAAAATTAACTTATTCAGAATATATTCATGAAGTATTTTTTCCTTTTTGAAAGTTTTTTTCAGTAATACAATTTTCTTGTGTGAACTGGTACACTTAGACAAAGGGTTACACAATTCCTATTCAGAAAAATTTATTGAACTATTCCTGCATCACAGTTATTGAAAGAAAAACTTAATTTTCCCTGAAGGCACCCTGTCATTTTACATGATCTCTACCATAAAACTTTTTGTATTAAAAATACAGGCTAAATATGAAATTAGTAAAGTGCAGCATATAAAATGTCATGCTGAGCAAAAACAAATCCAAAAGAAAAGTTACCATGTATCAATAGAATAGTTCCCACAGTATTTAAGATGTTTCCTATGTAAATCATATTTGAATGCAATTTTTAGAACCATATTTAAATGTATTTTGCAATTTGTTAACTAGGCATCCACATTTTTCTTCCACCACATAATCTGTTCCTCTGATTAAGTTGGCAATATCTGCTATGATCCACAAAATGCAGGAAGAAGATCACAGTTATTTCTCAAGATTTGAGAAATCTGGTCCACCTTTAGTGTAGTTTCCTGAGATTTCTGCTCCACTGAAGTCAAAACCAGGATTCTAAAAGACATGAAAAAAAAGAAAATTCAGATAAAATTTAAAGGAAAAATATAAATAAGCCAAAAAGAAAATGGTAATAAGCCAAAAAGAAAATGGTAAAAAGATATAAACTGGCAACTGACAAAAAAGGAAATATATTAACAAATGGCCAATAAACATGAAAAGATATCAAATCTCACTGTAATTGCCAAAATGGAACCTAAAACTATGAGATATTTTTTCAATTTTCATATTTACAAATATTTAGAAAATTAGTATGCATATTATAATGTTCACAAGTGTATGGGCAAACATTCTTTACCATCAGTGTGTAAACAGATTTTAATAATTAGCATTTTTTGAGAGCTTACTATAGGCCAGGCAGGGTTCTAAGAGGTGTATATATATACATTAAAATATTCAATTCTCATAACAGTCTTAAAGAGTAAGTACTACCTCTGGCTTCAGTCATTTTAGAGGCATTTCATTTATTCAACAAACATATATTAAGTTGCTACTGTTTAGAAGACACCATGAAGGGCATGCAGAATTTAAGAGTGAACGAAACAGACAGAGATCCCTGTTCTGGTGGATATTCTAACAGGAGGACAAATAATAAACCCGAAGCTACCTGGGGCAGGGGCCAGCACACTTGTTTGTAAAGAGCCAAGTAGTAAATATCAATACTTTAAGCGTTGACGGCCATATAGTCTTGGTCATGGCCAAGACTTAATTCTGCTACTATATAAAAGACACTACACAAACAAATGAGCACAGCTGTGTTCGGGTAAAACATTCCTTCAAAAGCAGGCAATGGGCTGGATTTGACTGCTGGCTATAGTTTGTCAGCCCCATGATGCAGGGTATTGAAAGTCGGTAAGTGTTATAGAAAAGAAAAAAGATGTAGGGTAAGTAAGGAAAATGAGGAAATTAGAATATTTAAATAGGATCATCAAAGTATGCTTCATTGAGAAATTACTGGAAAACAGAGAAGAAATCAGGTAAACTTTGGGAGAAGAGCATTGCAGTCAAAAGGACAGAGAAGGAATGGTCAGGCATGTTTGATAAAAGGCAAAAATGCCAGCATGGCTAGAGCAGAATGAATGAGGGGGCAGCAGTAAGACAGGAGATCAGAGACGTGATGGAGGACCAGATCAGTCTGGGCCTTGGAAAGGACTTCATGTTTCACTCGAGTGAGAGAGTTCTGAGAAGTAACACTGTCCAATTTGCATCTTAAAAGGATTGCTCTAGTGGCTATTTTCCGAAGACTGCAGCCTGGCAAGGGCAGAAGAGAGCAGTTAAAAGGCCATTAAGAGGCACGTTGCTGGCGGCACAATGGTAACAACCTGCCTGCCAGCGCAGGGTTGCCGAGCTCAGTCCCTGGTCCAGGAAGGTTCCACGTGCCAAGGAGCAGTTGAGGCCATGCTCCAGAGCCAGGAAGCCGCAGCTACTGAGCCCACGGGCCACAACTACGGAAGCCTCCACACTCTAGGGCCTGCGAGTCACAACTCATGAGGGCCTGTGCTGCAACAACCGAAGCCCGGGCATCTAGAGCCTGCGCTCTGCAACAAGAGAAGCTAGAGCAACGCAACTAGAGAGCAGCCCCTGCTTTCTGAAACTAAAGAAAGCTCGTGTGCAGCAATCCTAAAAAAAAAATAGGATCGGGGAAAGGTCAGTAGACTAACCTAAGCAAGACTTTAGTGGTGGTCCAGGTGACAGTGGTAGTAGAATGGTGGTGATGAGTACTCAAATTCTAAACATATCTAGAAGGCCATGACAGTAAGGTTTCCTAACAAGCAGCGTGTGACAGAAAGAGAGGAATGGAGGATGATTTCCCGTTTCTTCCATCTGAACAACCAGTTTCCATCAGGTGAGATGAGAAGGCCAGAGGTACAACAAATGTGGGAGGGAAATTAGGGAGTTCACTTGGATATGCTGAGTTGGATGTGTCTATTAAACAGCCAAGATGTTATGTAAACAGCTGGATATGCAGTTCGGACATTCTGTAAAAAGTCTACACTAGAGACATACATTTGGGAATCATCATCATTTATATAGAAATTATCTATCAAAATTTTAACAGTGCTTTGATTCAGTAATTCTTCCAGATAGCTATCTTAAAGGAAAATTTGAGTATTTTCAGAGATGAAAGCACAAACTTTGAAATAGACACAGAGAAACCTAAACTTCATCAAAGAGGAACAGCTAAGTAAAAACAATACACTCAAACTAGGAAACACTCTAAAGCAATTAAAAGGAACAAATTTTATCCACATGTACTAGTAGGGAAAGAGACCTAAGACATATTATTAAATGAAAAAGCAACATGACGATACATACTGTGTGATCCTCCACTTATGTTAAAAAAAACAAAACAATAAATTCAATGTATTGAGATGAGAATGAGACAGAGATACAGAATGGGAGATACTAAAGGGCCTTTCACTTTTTTACATGATATGTGTACTGAGAGAATTTTTATCAGTTTATTCATGAACTACTGATGCAAACTAAATAAATTTATACTTAGATATCACAGTGGTGCAGATAAATTCCTCTGGGGCAGCAGGGGTGGGATGGTGAAGGTTAAATCCCTATATAGAAAAGCCAGTCAGTTTTCCAACCATTAAACTGAAAAAATTTGTCTGAAAAATGTTAGCAATTTTTTAAAATGATGTTTGAGTTTTGAGTTTAAGTAATAATCATTCCATGAGTTTAAGATGTTTAACTACACATATTCATCAATCGATCTGACTTACTTCTTTCTGGAATCTCTCTAATGTAAGTTTTCTCTGCATTTGGTCTTGTACCCAAGGATCAGCTGCATAATCAGATTCTAGAAGAGAAGTCCAACAATTTGCTGCATCTCTCTTTGTCTTTGTAAGAACAATACGGACCATTTTTCTATCCTCTAAACAAAAAAAAACAAAAATCACAAAGAAATCAAAGTTCATCATTAATTTATATTTTCAGACACCTAATTAGGAAATGTTGACATACAATTGTTTTCAGTACATTCTTTTTACTATAGCTTACAAAGTCGCAAATCTACAGCAGGGGGAAACATATTAATTTCCAAGACAAAATTAACTTTTAAAGAGATTCTAAGAAATGTAATAGATTACCCTTACCCAGAGTCCATGTCCCTTCATCGGCTATTGTAGAGTCAAAGAGTTTGCCCTGAAAAATAAACATATGAGGTACTAAAAATAAAAAAAATTCCATTAGTTTTCATAAAGTTTTCATGATTTAAGACTTCCCTTATTTCCTATCTAATCTACATATAATTACTTAATTTGTTTAGAGTAGGCACAACAAATTTTCTACCATTTCAACACATTGATAGGTGGCCAACCCGAAGTTCCTGCCTAGCGAGTGAAACAGAACCTAGTTTACACTATGGACTATATTCTACAGTAAAGAACACAGAGCGCTCTACAAAAAGATCAGGGTTCCTTAATTTTTAGAAGATGAAGAAATACTACTGATTGGTCAAATGTGATGTTAACATCTGAAGTGTTAACTTTACCAATTATAATAAACTACAAAAAGAGCTGTCCTGCAGATATTAAGGAAAAATGGTATCTTAATATAAACTTAAAAAAAAAACTGGTTCAATCTCTTTGTAAGGCAGTTTAGCATTAAAAGAAAAAAAAAAAATTAAAGCACACACATCCGTATATATGTGTGATGTCAGATGAGTTGTAACTGATTTTTCAGAAACTTTTGCTTTAAGAAAGAACTAAGTAAAATAAGTTTAAAAGGGATTGCACCTGCTCAAATCCAATTTGATTTGTTGCTACTTAGCAAATTTTAGCTTTAGGAAATGAAATTAACATGTCACATTAAAAAAAGAAAACAGTTTTTTCATATGTCAATAAGGGGGAGATTGGGGAGTGAATACTACTTGTATAAATGTATCTAAAATCCTAGAGACAGAGTTATTGCCAAATTCCCTAGGTTACTGCAATTACTAAAGTAAATTTGAAATGTAATTTGAAATCACCATAAAGTAAATTATGAATAGCACAACTATTCAGAAAGGTCATCAAGAGCCAAGCTGACATAAATCAGTATCTTTCACATAACTCTTCCTTTTCTGAGACACTCAAAACACTTTCATATTAAGATAATTACAGCAACATGTAGTGCAAGCTTATTACATATTAGTTATTACCTACTCCAAGCTCTTCATTCATAGATACCATGCTACGTTTAAAACAATCCTAGGAGAAAGGTACTATAATTATACCACTTTAGAGATGAAGGCTTAGACAATGAATAATCTCTTGCCCAAGGTTACAAAACTGGGAAAACGGCAAAACCAGGTATACTCCCAAGCAGTCTCCTTTCACCATTACACAACAATGTCATCAAATATCTTGGGCTTCTAATCTGAGAAAGAAATCTAACTTCAAGTTAATTGAATTTAACTACAAATTTTAACAAGGAAGAAATGGGTCCCAGACCCAAAGGGTACTGATGAGAATAAAAGGGCTATCCGTTACTTTCTTCACAACTTCTTGACCACCGGCTTAAACACTCCACAAACTTACAGAATTTTTCCAATTTTAGATGAGAAAATACATCAGCGGACATCACCTCCGAATCCTCAACCCAACATCTTTATTTTCGTTTTTCATTTCCTCTAACCTCCTATATATTTATTGATTTAATTATGCCTCCCTGAGTAAGGGCACAGAATCTGGCTCGTTCACCGCGGTCCTCCCAGCACCAAGATCAGTGCCTGGAGGTAGAGATATCAAAAATATCTGTTTTCCTTCAACGATCTAGTTAGGCAGTTCTCAGTGAAGACCCGCAGAGGAGTTTCATTTGGCTTGCAAACAAAACAAGGTAAACAGGCTACTCATTCCAGCCTCAAACAACGAACGGCCCTGAGGTCAGGGGCTCCGACCAGACCAAAATCAGGGCAATCTCATTCATCCTTCGGTCAGCCAGAGAGACCGAACGGCCTTCCAGCAATCTTTCCACGGAAACCATGAACTTGAAGACTCGGGAATTTGGGGAGGCCGGGAAGAAACTGAGTACAAGCCCCGACCTAGCCGCTACCTTGAGGATCTCGCGGCCACCCACGGCCAGCGCCACATGCCGGCTCTGCAGGCCGCACTGGATATCCTGGGCGCGAGTGCCTGGCGGCACCTGAACTTCAATGAACACCTCCTCCAAGGTCTGGTACCACTGGCCCCACGGCGTTCCGCACGGAACCACCCCACTGCGCTCCTCAAACGGGGCTGACATACTCCAGTCGCCTCCCGGCCGCGGTGGCACCGAGCAAGCGGAGTCCACGCCCGGAATCCCCGCCTCCGGCCACACCCCGGCTGTCTCCGCTCGGGTCACTGCACATGCGCAGAAATGTAACCTGCGGTCTCCGCTTGTCTGTGCGTTTCCGTTTCAGTTGGCCATTGAGGACGCTGGCAGAACCCAGGTTTAAGGAACTGAAACCCAGAAAAGTTCGCATCCAAGGGACGATGGAAGAGGGGCGGACCCAGAGAAGTTAGAATTCACTACACTGCCACCAATATGACGTCAAAAGCGACGGAAAACTCTCTGGTGCGAACTGCGCTTGCGCAAACGTGGCTAGTGCGTAATTACAATTGAGTAACGCCAGTACTGATTGGGCCAGTGAGGAAAGAGAGGAGACAGTAGTAGCCTCCTATTGGATGGTGGCCTAAATAGGTCACGTAATTGAACGCAGCGAGAGCCGAGGAGCCTGCTCTTCGGCCTTTGGCGTTCCGATTGGCTGACGTCGATGGGCGGGGGTTAAGCGGGGCGATTTGAATTTGAAGCCAACAGGCCTAAACAACCCGGAGGATAGTAGCCGCAGACCAGTAGAGACCTTCGGTTTTGTGGAGCTGGTCGTCAGCATGTCCTTCCCTAAGGCGCCCCTGAAACGATTCAATGACCCTTCTGGTGCGTACGGGGAAAAGTGCTGGGGGACAGGATATGCTCTCACGCCCCTTGTCCTTCTTTGGCTTCCCTTCATCAAATTGGAGGCGATTTTTACGGTTGGGATGGGGCTCATTAAATTGATCCATTTTCCTGAAACATATGCTAAGCTTTTACTACTTGCCAAGCACTATTCAGGTTGAGCATATAACAGTGAGCGAAGTAAAGTCTCTGCTCCGTGGAGTTTAATTCAGTTGGAGAATGCAGCCAATATACAATTAGTGCTGTGGCTAAAGCCAAGGGAAGGGGATAGGAATTAGGAAGCATTGGTAACTGTTGATCAAGTCCGGAGTCCTCACTTGTATGTATGTGTGTGTATATACACATACATATATTTTACTATTGCTTTTGGTGTGGACTTGTGAATTTCTTTTGAATGTCCCATTCAGGCGTAAAAGAAGAAAGATTGGTAAAGGCAGTTTATAGGTATAAAATTATGGCAGTAGCACTTACTGAAAACACTATAGATGAAGTAAAGGGAGCAATTCCCCCAAATCCGTAATATTCATTATTTTATCCATAAAAGAATGGATACTTATATTTGCTCACTGTTATACAACCGAACTGGCAGAACAGGGGCCTGAAACCAGGCCTGCATGAATCCATCCTGTGTTCCTGAGCAGTTAGTGGATGCTAACTGTATTCAGGGACAGTGCTAAGGTCTTCCCTGCTGGGTCTGGTTTATTCTTTCCAACAGCCAGGTGAGGCATGAAGAATTGTTTTCATTTTACAGATGAGGAAACTAAGGGGGGTTCTAACTACTGAGCAGCCTGCAAGTGACAGAGCTTAACATCACAGCTCGTGATTTATCCATTTTAATGTATACTTTTTAAGTCTTTCATTACATCTTAATTTCTGTCAGCTAACATACAAACGGAAATGAGCATCACTCTGCTCACAAAGGAAAGCCAGTGAAGAATTGGATCAACATAAACTTATTTGTTAACTAAAGACTTAAGGGCCATATAATTTCTCAGACATTCAAAGAACTACTCTAAGTTCTGTCATTGTGTCCTTGTGGGAGATTTGTTTATTTTGTAATAGATTGAACTGGTTTTGACAATTACATAAAACTTCAGGCTTACAGCTTTATAAATAATAAGTGACCATTTATTTGATGCTTAGTGTGTGTATGATGCACTGTAGTGATTTATGTTACTGCAGTAATCCAAACAACCAAAGTGTGAGGTAGATACTATTTTTTTATCCCTGTTTCATGAATGAAGAACAGTCTCAAATAGAAATAACTTTCCAAGGGTCTTAAAGTTAGACTGGAAAAAGAGAGAGTATGATGTTCCTATCCATCATCTTCTCCCTATGACTATAAAGTACCTGGCCCATACTATTGTCTATTGATTGGCAGACAAATCTGGATTTGAACCCTAATCTAGCTGATTACTATACGAAACTCTGTTCCCAATCCTACATCCCCAGTGATTTTCTGTTTTTTCTGCCACACTGCCAAACTCTACCCTGACCTAAATACTGAGGTTAGGGACGTGATTGAGACTGTCCCTAACCTCAAGCAGTTTTGTCTAAGGTGGGAGATGGATAAGTACATTAGTATAGGCCATTACAAAACTGCAGGAAGTTCTGCGATAGGAATAGTACTTGCAAGCTGCTATGGAATGGAGATTTCTAACTTGATGTGGGCATTTAGAGAAAATGGAAGAGGTGACATCAAAAAAATCTAAAGTAATTGAACCAGATCTTTGCATAAGTACATGGAAATACGTTTGCTTTGAGACTCTAGTTACATGAGGTTATACAGCATAAATTGCTGGAACATAGAAATACAGTTTCGTGTAGTTTGTACTTTGCATAACATGGCTTTATAGATTTCCTGATGTATTGATATTAGACACAGATGGATCATCACTAAATTTTTATTCCAAGCTAAATCTTCAGGGCTAGACATTTTTAGTAGCATCATTGCTAAAATCTCAGTGACTCTCTTTGAGTAGATTTGATTCCAAATATTTTATTTCTTAATTCAGTTCTTACTAATAGCTGTGTTGCTTGTTCTGACATGTTCATTTCAAGACTGGACATGTTCATCCCAAGACTGTCTTTGTTGTTTTGCTAAGTTGTCTGTGTTCCTTTGACCCAACTGAAATAAAGATCATTTGGGAAGATAATGATACTGTTCTTCACAGACAGGCCTACTTTATAGTATCAGATGTGCTAATTTTACATTTAAAACAAAACATTTTAAAAAAAATGTGTTAGAGTATAATTGATTTACAATGTTGTGTTAGTTTCGGGTGTACAGCATAGTGATTCAGTTATACATATATTCATAGGTTTTCAGATTCTTTTCCTATATAGATTATTACAGAATATTGAGTGGAGTTTCCTGTGCTATATAATAGGTCTTTGTTGGATATCTGCTTAACATATAGTAGTATGTGTATGTTAATCCCAAACTTCTAATTTATCCCTCCTCTCCACATTTCCCCTTTGGTACATGTTTGTTTTTGAAATCTGTTTCTGTTTTGTGAATATGTTAAGTTTATGTCATTCTTTTAATTAGGAAAGAAGAAATTTATTAATGGTATTTTTACATTTATGTTACTCACTTTACTATTGCTTTTTTAAATTGAAGTATAGTTGATTTACAATATTGTGTTAGTTTTACGTGTACAGGAAAGTGACTCAATTATTTTTTTCTGGATTATTTTCTATTATAGGTTATTATAAGATAGTGAATATGAATATAATTCCCTGTGCTGTACAGTAAATCCTTGTTGTTTATCTGTTTTATGTCTAGTGGTTTGTATGTATTAGTCCGCTCCTACCCTTTTGTAATCATAAGTTTTTTTTTTAATGTCTGTGAATCTGTTTCTGCTTTGCTTATGGATTCATTTGTATTAATTTTTAGATTCCACATATAAATGATATCATATGATGTTTGTAAAACATGTTAACATGTAAGTCACATCAAATGAGATTTTAATGTTTTATTTTTCTTCTAGGATGTGCACCATCCCCAGGTGCTTATGATGTTAAAACTTCAGAAGTATTGAAAGGACCAGTATCCTTTCAGAAGTCACAAAGGTTTAAAAAGCAAAAAGGTAAAGGATCCCAATAGAATAATGGTTATATGATCTTGTAAATTTTGAAGTTAAGGATAACATTATTTAAATTTAAAGATGTTATAACATTTCTAAAATTGTGAAGCTACAACTATATTTAAGTTTTTTTTAATTGATAGATTTACAAAAGGGTCAACTTCTGAATAACACTTTCATCATTACACTGTCATATAACCAGAAAAGTTAAGCAAGCCATTCACATAGACATGTAGTTTTCCTTTTGGTAATTACATTAATCCTCTCGGAGAATATTAGAGGGAATATTAGGAAAATCAAGAAAGTGTTAAAATGTGTAAAGAAATGTGGCATTTGTGCAACTAATTACTTGAAAATGTACAATCAAGAAAAGAATAATTTTATATTGCTTCACTAATAGTTGCTATAGGGAATTTGGGAACGGGTATTTTGCCTGAGCTTCCAACGTGTAAGCACCAAACATGATCTGTACAATTCATTTTACAGCAGAATCACAGCAAAATCTTAACGTTGACAAAGATACTACCTTGCCTGTTTCAGCAAGAAAAGTCAAGACTTCAGGATTAAAGGTGAGGTGCCCTTATATTCTAGCTGGTTTATCAACTGTATCATAAAAACATTTCTGAAAGGTATTGTATTTGACTAGAATGAGTTCAGTTTATAAATTAAGGTAATCAAAAAGTCTGTAAATGAGTAAAACATTATCATTGGAACTCTAGTAAGTTTTACCTGTCAGCCTATGTCATTACCAATATATTGTGTTTAAATGTATCCTTAGTTCAGAATTACAAGGTGGTCTCCACTTCTCAGTCATTTCTATAGATGGATAAGCCTTATAATACCTAGTGAGCCCTTAAAAATTGCATAGTGCTTTGATTTTTTGAGTTATCATCATTTGACTTTACAAAGTAAGGGAAGGGTAAATATTGATGAAGGAAGAGAAAAAACCATTCTAATGTCAAGGGGTTTGCCACTCAGAAACTGTCACGGAGTGGCAGGAGATTAATCCTTAACATCTTTATGTTAGGACTTGTGCAGGAGTGTACTGTTACTGTTTCCGCTAGTTCGTAAAGCAAGTTGTACCTTCTTAAGGAGTTGTACAACTTGGTATTTTAATGTGAAAAAGATTCAGAGTTGAGAAAGAGTTCCCAAGCTCTTTGGTTAGAACATCAAAGCTATAAGTTAAGCTTATTCTTGTTCATTCATTCAACAGTTACCTAAATCTCTTATTCTATTAAAAAAAAAAAACCTGTGGTTGTCCAGTATGAAAGTGATAAGCCACATGTAGCTACTCAACACTTGAAAAATTGGATTTTTAGCATTATTTAATTTTATTAATGTGTCATTAAAAACTGATACTCAGTTCACTTGTTGTAATTCTTAAGTGTTTTTGGAATAACTTGGATATGTGAATCTACTTTTTCATCTCTGTGTTTTGTGAAGTCTAAATATAGTTAGATATTAGAAATATCAACAGAATCAAGTATAAATATAGTTAGATATTAGAAATATCAACAGAATCAAGTATCAGTTTCTAATGACACAATTAATTAAATAGTAATAAAATTAGCCACCACTAAAGACCCTGCATGCCATGACTAAGACTTGGCACAGCCAAATAAAGTAAATTATTTTTAAAATAAATAAATATAGTTAGGTATTTCTATTGAAAATTTAGCAGTTGAATTGAGATGTACTATAAGTTTAAAATGGGCTTTCCTAGTGGCTCAGTGGTAAAGAATCCACCTGCCAATGCAGGAGACACGGATTTGATGCCTGGATCGGGAAGATCCCCTGGAGAAGGAAATGCAACCCACTCCACTATTCTTTCCTGATAAATCCCATGGACAGAGGAGCCTGGCGGGCTACAGTTCATGGAATCACAAAAGACTACTTAAGGACACTATTTAGCCCCTAAACGATAATATAAAATATACAGCAAATTTTGAAGACTTAGTACCAAAAATATAAAATATCTTGCTAATAATCTTATACTAATGACATGTTGAAATATACTTTTGATATTTTGGGTAAAGTGAAATGTATTATTAAAATTTTTACTTTTTAAATATGGCTATCAGAAAATTTGAAAATATATGCACGGCTTGCATTATATCTTTATGGGCAGTACTGATATAAAGATCCTTTTCTCGGAAATTGATGTAAATTTCCTGACTTGAATTTCTTGGAGAAACAGTTCTGAAATTTTAAATTAATTATAGAATTCACAAACCAAAACTAAATTACATACAAGTTTGTGTAAAACTCCTACATAATAGGCCTTCAAGGAAGGCCTATTTTGTTTTCTTGACCTTCCTAGAAAATGCCATCAGGTGGAAAATTAAACATGTGACAGGCCATCTGCCACGTTAGAAATATATAAAATACATTTTGTTCAAGATATTTATGACTTTTCTTCCATCTATAGATGGATAAGATAGATATTCTGTTTTTGGCCATTATCTCACAAAGACTGGTGAATGTAAAAATAAAATGTAAAAAACACATCTTACTGAGAATAAAGGCAATGAGTAGATTAGAATCAGTTTGTACTATTTCAGTTTTTCTTCATGTCTTTGCATTTGTACTATTTTTTGTATTTGGGATCTAGATTTAAGTTGATATCTCTTTTTAAGAGTCTTTTTTCCTTCTGAGACAGTATAATTAAATACAAAATGTATTATTTAACATTAGAAAAGAAGATCTGTTATTTTCACTGAACTTGTGAGCAAATGTCTAATCTGTTGGGCTAAAAACATTCACACCTGAAATATTTTAAGATTTGAAGAAACTTTTCCTTCATCGGCTAGATAAATCACCTACAAAATATTTACAACACTTAATGAAATGTTTAAAATAGAAATTAATCTTTTGGAACACTTAATCTTTCCTGATAACTAAAGATCAAAATTGGCTATGATATTTGTGGCACTTAAAGTTGATTGTCACTGTTCTCTGATTTTTAAATAGAAGGAATCTCAGAAGAATGATAAAGATTTGAAGATGTTGGAAAAAGAGGTGAGCAATACTTTTAAGTTACTGAAAAACATGGAGTCAGGAGACAAGGATTCTGTTGCTGTTTGAGGTGTCAGATAGTGAAACATCCAGACTGGTACCCACAGGGTAACCAACCCTTGGCTCGGGTACCACATTGTAGACCTTGATTGTCAATGTAGTATACAGTTAGCATACTAAGGGAGGCATATAAGGTCATCTATGTCATGAAAAACTGATAAGTAAAACTCAATATTTTAGTTTGTATGTGGATCAAATATTTACCTTTCCTCATAGCATACACTATTCCTACATGCTAATCTCTGTGTTAAGACAATAACTACCTAGAGAATTGCTTGGTGAGCATGAAATCCTAGAAGGTTAGTTGAATTGCAGTGGAGTTGTGCTAACTTACTGCATCTCTGCACTAAGGGATATCCTTCCTCAAGGATAAAATGACCAACTGCATGTGTACTGCCCGATATGGTAGCCATTCACCACATGTGACTATTTAAATAAAATTAAGAATTCAGTTCCACTAGTCGCACTTTACCTGCTCAGTAGGCACTTGTGGAGAGTGGCTACCACGCTGAACAGTGCATTTCCACCATAGAGGAAATCTTTGTTGAGCAAAACTAACCTAAAAAACCTGCTTACTTTTTTTTTTTTAATGTATATGTATGTGTGTGTGTGTGTGTGTGTATGGATGAGTATAATTGCTTTGCAATGTTGTGTTAATTTCTTCTGTACAACAGAGTGAATCAGCTATATGTAAACACATGTCCCCTCCCTCCTGAGGCTCCCTCCCATCCCACCTCTCTAGGTCATCACAGAGCACTGAGCTGAACTCTCTGCTATGGAGCAGCTTCATTAGCTATTTATAAAACACCTGTTTACTTCTGTAAGCAGGGCCAGGCAGGTCACGGCCAGCTTTGCCTTTCTGGCAGTCTTTTTTCTACATTTCCACTACTGACCAACTCTTTCTGGTAGACATATTAAAACTTTCCTTTGATTACAGTTAAATGTTGGCTTAGGCCAGGAATATGTCAAGATAACTGTGAAAATCTCTGCCCTTGTTTCTCTGATCCTTTTTTTTATCTATTTTAATAACATTAGCTATCATTTTATTGAGGACACATGCCTGTGATGTAGGGGTACATACTTAAAGATCTAATAACTGTCTCTGGAGATAGCTGATGAGGGAGTGGCAGTTACAGAGTTAGAACTAATCATTTGTATCAGTTACTTAATCGCCCCCCCCCAAGTATTTGTTGTTTGTTTGACTAATTTGAATTGAATATCAATATGTAATTTAAAAGTAAAATTTCGTGGAGAACAAACTGACATTTCTGACTACTGTTGCAGAATAAGAAGATCTGACAGGACAGTTTCTGTGTTCCCCTCCAGGGCGGCAATCTACTAGGCTTGTGCAGGGTTGCCTTCTTTTTTTTTAATTATATTTTTTAGATGACATATAATTGACTTAAGCAATGTTGTACAAATCTCTGCAGTGCAGCAAAGTGACTCAGTTTTACACATATAAACGTTCTTTTTTTTACATTTTTTTTTAATATTCTTTTCCATTGTGGTTTATCCCAGGAGGTGATACACTTCCCTGTGCTATACAATAGGACATTGTTGCTTATCCATTCTAAAATAGGTTGCATCTACCTGGGTTGCCTTCTTCAGACGTCGAATTTGCTGTCAGTCCTCACCTTGCTCTCTTATATTGTCTACTTGGTCATGTAGGTATTTGAGTTTACAAACCCTTCTTTATACTTCTTTAACTGAAAAAAGTGTTATGTAGATAGTCTTAAATGTTCTTTTTTCTGCTTTATAGTACTATGCTATGAACATTGGTTGTAAACCAATAATGTAAGAATAAAGAATCTTACAGTTGGGAATCTTAAATCTCGTTCAATTTCTGGCATCTAGTTCACAGCCATATATGTAAGTGGTGCTTGATATATTTTTAGTTAAGTATTATTGGCTTAGAATACTGAGATAAGTTTGAATACAAAGCCAGTAAGAGTAGAGAATGCTTTTTATGTGACTTAATATAGCTGTGCTTTCTTGATACTTTTATACCAAGCATAAAGTCTATTTTGAAGTGAAGTGAAAGTGTCTGACTCTTTGCAACCCCATGGACTTTACAGTCCATGGAATTCTCTAGGCCAGAATACTGGAGTGGGTAGCCTCTCCCTTCTCCAGGGGATTTTCCCAACCCAGGGATTGAACCTAGGTCTCCTGCATTGCAGGCGGATTCTTTACCGGCTGAGCCACAAGGGAAACCCAGGAATACTGGAGTGGGTAGACTATCCCTTCTCCATCGGATCTTCCTGACTCAGGAATCAAACTGGGGTCTCCTGCAATTGCAGGCGGGCTCTTCACCAACTGAGCTATCAGGGAAGCCATAAAGTATATTGTGGTAAATGTTTTATGTGCACTAGAAAAGAATGTAAATGCACTTGTTGGTTGTAGTGGTCTATATACATCAATTAGTTCAAATCATTTAATAGTTTTCTTCAAAGCTATTATTTGTACTGATATTTTTGGGTGTTTATTAGTTATGAGAAAGGTATTTTTAGACTTCCAGCTCTGTGGATTAATCTCTTTTTGATTCTGTCAGTTTTGACTTTGTATATTTGTTACAATATTACTTTGTTGTGCATGAAAAATTTAAGATTATGTCTTCTCTTGAAATCACCTTTTGACCATAAAATTTCTTTGTTACTAGTAATAATGTTTGCCTTAAGTCTGCTTTGTATAATATTAACATAGCCATGCCAGCTTTCATTTATCTAATATTTACATGGTAAACCTTTTCTATTCCCTCTATTGTCAGTCTATCAGTCCTTATATTTAAGTGCATATTTTATAAACATCTGAGATCATTTCCTTCAGCCTGAAGAATTTCCTTTAATATTTCTTGTTGTGCAGTTCTAATGTTGACAAATATTCTTAGCTCTTTTTTGTTTTTTCCCTCTGAAAAATGTCTGTATATCACCTTCATATTTAAAGGCTGTTTTCACTGGGCATAGAATTTTATATTGGCAGATTTTCCCATACATTTTAAACATTTCATTATCTTCTGGTTTCCACATTTCCTGTTGACAAATATGTGTTTTTTATTTTGGTTTTGGTTTTTACCCATTAGTTGCATCAGGTATGATGGCTTGCTAATGTCTACCACACCCTACCCAGAAGCCCTGTTCTGTTTTCCCAGAAATAAAGGTATTTAGCATTTTAAGCTGTAATTAGAACTAGAGAAAAGAAGAACTTTTATAGGTAGCAATGCCTTAAAAGTAAATAAACAGTATAATTACACCTAGAAGTTTATGGCAATTTGAATTTTCTGTTCTTAAAATGCTTACAGATTTTCAAGATGTGTCATAAAGTAAATATGATTGCTCAAACAGCTAAGACTATTGAAGAACATCATATCACAATCAGAGGTTTTTCTAGAATTTTAATGTTTTGATTATCAGTAGCACCTAGTACTGGAGGAGAGCATGGAGACTCCCTCTAGTACTCTTGCTTGGAGAATCCCCATGAACAGAGCCTGGCGGGCTACTGTCCGTAGGGTCACAAAGAGTTGTACACGCTGAGTGACCAAGCACAGCACAGCACAGCTTCTAGTAACTGTATTGGCAGGAATACGTGAGTTACTCATTTCATATCCTTGTTCCTGTCCAGATGCGCATTCTTGTGCAGGAGCGTGGGGCTCAGGACAGGAGGATCCAGGATCTGGAAGCTGAGTTGGAGAAGATGGAAGCCAAGCTAAACGCTGCCGTCAGGGAAAAAACATCTCTGTCTGCAAGTAACGCTTCACTGGAAAAACAGCTTCTTGAATTAACCAGGACTAATGAGCTCCTAAAATCTAAGGTATTTGAACCTCATAATCTTTACAATTGAATAAAAAACAATTAAGTTTTTTTCCTCATAGAGCTGTTTGGGAATTTTAGGCCTAGTTTAGTCATTTAACTTCAATATACTTTAAATATTAAGCCACTCCCATAGGAATTATTATTGCATCTTGCTTATTATGGTGCCTGGCACATAAGAGGATCTAAACAATCGTTTACTTTTTGTTTTTACGTCTGACATTTTCTCACCCTCCTTCAAAGTCACTCCCAATTAGTAAGACCACTAATAACGTTGCAGAAGTTATATCTAGAAGTATCTTTAAAGATCTTTCTCTGCAATAAATAATAGCATGTTAGCAGGCTTCTGTCTTAAATCTCTTTGGGAATGCAGTAGAAAATGAATAAATGTGTGAACTAAATATGCTCAGTAGACAAATTGTGTTTATCAATATTAATAAACTAATAGATCTTAAAGGACTTAACATGGTCATCCTGCTTTTTATAGAAGTGGAAGGAAGCTGTAAATCACCGTTCAGCTTAATAAGAATCAATTATTCAGGGCCTGTAATGTACTGGGCTCTTTGCTTACAAAGGAAGTAAGGATGCATAAGAATTAAACATGGGCAAGACAGCAGATTCCTGAGCCTCACTTAGGGAGATTATCATTTATTAGGCCTGTGATGGACCCTATAGCCTGCATATTTCAAAGTAGACGAGACAATGCAAATGCATTTTGTTAAGCAAACACACTTGAATTAACCAATTTTTATAGGCAAATCTCTGCAAAAATCTTGTTTTAAAGCCACACAGTAGGCTTCCCAGCATATACAGATAAATTATCACTGAAGCTGACTTCAAAAGTAGACCAGAAAGTCACATGAAGGAAAAGGACGGACAAGAATAGAGATAGTATAAAGCCAGTAATCCCGCTGTGGGTTAAGGATACTTTTCTCTACCAAAGTATGTTGTAAGCAAATAGTAGTCCCTATAATAGATAGAATAATCAATACTTAAGTGATTTTTACACAGCTGTAGTAGAAAATATTTCTCAATTTTTTATGTGTTTGCTATACTCAGTTTTCTGAAGATAATAACCAGAAGACTTTGAGAATTCTAAGCCTTGAGTTGATGAAACTGAGAAACAAAAGAGAAACCAAGATGAGGGTGAGTAATACCTTAGGTAAGTTTGCTGGAACTGGGGATCTGAACAAGTTCTCGTTTCCTAAAACAGATATTTCTGTTGTGTAGAGCATGGTGGCTAAACAAGAAGGCATGGAGGTGAAGCTGCAGCTCACCCAGAAGAACCTCGTGGAGTCTCAGGAGAAAATAGTACAACTTGAAGGGAAACTGTGAGTGACTAAAAGAAAAAGACGTTACATTGTGTAACCAGTTTTGTATTTGGCTTTCTTGGCTAGTTATTACTCCATACTCATCTCATTGCCTGCCTCCACTTGCCCTATTTCTCTTCCTAAGTAACAGCTGAACCCTATTCATTCCCTAACATTTTATGCTGAAAAGAAATATGAATGTATTATGTTTGTACATCTTCTGTATCAGTGTTGAGGAAAGGCACATAATCTTATGGCCGTTGTAATGAGACTAAAACTGAGAAGCTTTAATACAGGAAGCTATGATTAATGTACAATCCTAGATTTCTTTTAGTTACTCAACTGTAATTTGCATACAATAACATGCACAGATCATAAGTATTCATTTTAGTGACTGGACAATTGTGTGCTCCTATGTAACCACCACCCAAACAAGATAGAGAACACTGTCGTTCCCTCAGAAAGTCCCCTCGTGCTCCTTCCTTCTCCCTGTTCCTCCCTGCAGTCCCCCCCACAACCCCTACAACCACTTTCTGACTTCCAGCATCATGATTTGACTTTTTGGGGACATTTATCATCACATGCATGCATAGATGTGTATATGTGGCTTTTTTTTTTTTCCTGGACATGCTGCTCGTCTTATAGGCTCTTAATTCCCTGACCAGGTCTCAAACCCATGAGCTTTGCGTTGAAAGTGCAGAGTCGAGATTCATCCATATTGTTGTGTGTATTATATGTTTCTTTCATTTCTGAGTAGTGTTCCACTATACAAATATACTTCCATTTGTTTATTACTCTCCTATTGATCAATACTGGGGTTTCCAATTTTTTACTATTGTCAATAAGACTACTATATATGCCTTTTTGTAGACATAGGTTTTTGTTTCTCTGAGTAAATATCTAGGAGTGGAATTTCAGGGTCATAGCGTTGTGTACATATAATGTTTTTTACGTTGTTTGTTTATTTATTTGGTTGTGCCATGTCTTAGTTGCAGCATGCAGGGTCTTTAGTTGTGGCCTGTGGGATCTAACCTGGGCCAGGGATTGAGCTTGGGCCTTCTTTATTGGGAGCATGGAGTCTTAGCCACTGGATCACCAGGGAAGTCCCCATGTAATGCTTTTTTAAAAGCTCAAAGTAAAAAAAAAAAAAAAAAAAAGCTCAAAGTGTTGATACAATTTTATACTCCCACTTCGTAATGCATGATGGTTCTATTCATTCCATATCCTCACCGATATTTGTCCTGGAGGCAGGCACAGCAACCCACTCCAGTATTCTTGCCTGGAGAATCCCATGGACAGAGGAGCCTGATGGGCTGTAGTCCATAGGGTTGCAGAGTCAGACACGACTGAATCGACTTGACAGTCATATACACACTGATACCTGATGTTGTCAGCCTGTTTGATTTCAGCCTCTCTAGTGGATGTAAAGTAGTATATCATCTGTGTTTTTAATTTGTTGCTATTAATGTCAAACATCTTTTTATGTGCTTATTGACCATTCATATGCATCCTTTCATAAGATATCTACTAAAGTCCCTTGCCCCTTTCTCAATAAGTAACTGAATAAAAGGCAGCCTGGAAGAAAGGCTTTAAAGCACACAAAATTCTATTTTGTATGTGTGGTGGGTGGGAATTCTAAGAAAGCTACAGGAAAAGTGATATCTAATATACTCAGAGTGTTACAGATCTATAACTATATACAAACTATCATCATAATTCTTTTGTCAGAATATATTTGGAAAGCTTTATCACTTCAAAAAAAAAAAACAAACTTGAACCTCCTACTAGCATAAATTGTCAACGTGAGAGGTCACACAAATTAGTGGTTAGGAGTTTAGAACCTAGAGTCAGCCTGCCTGAGAGAATAGTATCTGGTACAGAGTAAGCATCTCTGGTACAGAGTACAGCTTACTCTGTTCCAGAATAATGCTTACTCTGTACTAGAGATACTTACTCTGGTACAGAGTAAGTATGATGATTGTGTATATTAATGTATGCTTTTTATTTTTTTAGTGTTTCAATAGAGAAAGAAAAGATTGATGAAAAATCTGAAACAGAAAAGCTCTTAGAATACATTGAAGAAATAAGGTAATATGAAGAGTAGTTTTTGGACTTTGTTTTATTGAAGTGTGATGAATACATAATTTTCATCTCTTTTCATTTAATGTTTCTTCTACTTAAATAGATGTGCTCTTCAACATAATTTGTTTTAATGCAGTTGTGCATCAGATCAAGTGGAAAAATACAAGCTAGATATTGCCCAGTTAGAAGAAAATCTGAAAGAGAAGAATCATGAAGTTTTAAGCCTTAAGCAGTCTCTTGAGGAAAATATTGCTATATTGTCTAAACAAGTAGAAGACTTGAATGGAAAATGCCAGGTGCTTGAAGAAGAAAAAGGTATTCTACTGTTTTTAGTACTATTTTCTTTAGATAAGTACTGCCTATAATAGTTTTTAAAAGTACTGATATGTTATAGTAACTTTTTAAATAATTACATAAACAACAATGAAAATTTTGTTCTATGCATGGGAATTTTTATCTTTCATGATATTTGTTATCTGTTTATTTTAATATATTGCTTGTCTTGATTGAAATATATGCAACTGACCTCATTGGGTGGCCATTTAAAATTGGTAGATACATAGAGCGAGGTTTGAGGATTTTATTATATAACATATATACTGTTTTATATGTAGTAATAACAGGAACTTCAGAATTTTTTTTCCCTCTTTGGAAGTACTTGACCTCTGTGTGTGTGTGTGTGTGTGTGTGTGTGTGTGTCAGTTACTCAATCATGTCTGACTCTTTGTGACCCCATGGACTATAGCTCATCAGCCTCCTCTGTCCATGGAATTCTCCAAGCAAGAATATTTGAGTGGATTGCCAGTCCCTTCTTCAGGGATTCCCAACCCAGGGATTGAACCTGGGTCTCCCGCATTGTGGGCAAATTCTTTACGCTCTGAACCACCATGGGAATCTGGGTTTTTCAAAGGTAATATTAGTATCTAACTACAGCATTGTTAATATTTTTCCTTTTCTAGAAGACCTCATCAATAGGAACAGAGAACAGGATGAAAATCTAAATTCTGAGATACAAAGCTTAAAACAGAGGTCTATTCTTGAAAAACAAGAACATGAAGAGCTACAACAAAAAGTATTGCAAATGGATTCACTTCTGCAACAAGAGAAGGTAGTTTACAATATTAAAAAAGCCTAGTGCTTCTTTTATGTCATATGTTTCCCTATGTATCAGAAAACCTTTAAATTGTATATATCCTTTAGTCCAGTAATCCTGCTTTTAGAATCTTATTCTGAGGAAGTAATCATGTCTTTGCTGCGTATTTAACTGATGTCACCAAGTTACTCATGATTTGAAAAATTTAAGCAACAGTTAAAACAATATAGGGAAATTGTTTAAATTTTTTTTTCAGCACATTCTTGTGTTAGATTACTACATAAGCATTTACAGTTATGTGGTAAAAGAGTGTCTAATTAGACAAAAAACAAATGTGACTTTTTGAAATCCAGATTACATAAAGAACATTTTACATATCAATGAGAAACATAGGAAGTTCATTAAAAAATAATAATAATAATCCTGGTGATCCAGTGGTTAAGACTCCTAGCTTCTACTGCAGGGGTCACATGTTTGATCCCTGGTCCGGGAATGGAGATCTTGTGTGGCTCTCAATGCTGCCAAAAAACTTTTTTTTAATTAAACAATAAAGTTTTTTTAATGGGCTTAGGATGGAAACAGATAATTCTTAGCAGGAGAAATTCAGATAGCTTGTAAAATGAGAAGACGCTGTACTTGTCATAATAGTTAAAGGAATGTTCTGGTGTTTTTTTCCACTTCCAAGATTGACACAAGTTAAAACATTTGGTAATATGATATATTGGTGAGAATTAGTCAAGCAAGTAAGTACTCATGTGAACTAATGTGAAATATATTGTTGGGCAATTTGCAGTGACAAAGGAATTAGGTAGATCTGTATATACTGACTTGAAAAGACCTCAACAACTATTTTAATTATATTTTAAATGACCTTTTTATGCACAGTATATTTAATTTATGTTTTAAAAGAATGTGGATATATAGAAAAAGACCATAAGGCTTATAATGCAAAATTTAGTGGTTATCTCTGAAGTGAGAAAACTAAGATTGGAATGGGGAGTAGTCAAAGGCAATTTTTCGTTTATTTATAATGTTATAATTTTTTTTGCAATGGTGATTTACTTGTATTTATTTATTCTTATTTACTTATATAACTTTAAAATATTTCTATATAACATTGAAATCATAATACTCTTTATATAGTATCATATGAGAAAAAATATATGATAAAAGCCATTTGTAGAATATAATTTTAGTTGTCTAAGAAGTGTGTGTTGCATAGGAAAAAGACTGAAATAATATTTACCCCAATCTTAACAATGGGTAGGATATAATCCATGACAGAATGAATATGAATCTCTAGTTTCTCAGAAGCTCTTGAGTTTAGTGTCCATACTTCATTACTTGTAATTCTCTTTTGTCCTTAGTAAAATCTCACAGATTATTAAATTTAATTATTAAATTGTCAAAACCTATCAGATTATTTTGCTCGCTTTCTATTTATATGCAGGAATTATCTTCTGGTCTTCAGCAGAAGCTATGTTCTTTTCAAGAAGAAATGATTAAAGAGAGAACTCTCTTTGAGGAAGAATTAAAGCAAGCCCTGGATGAGCTGGATAAATTACAGCAAAAGGAAGAACAAGCTGAAAACCTGCTTAAGCAACTGGAAGAGGAAGCAGAATCTAGAGCTGCAGAACTAAAATGCCTCGAAGAAAAGCTGAAAGGGTTCGTATTAATAGGACTTCATGTTTATAATTAAAAGTTATTTTCTAGTACATTCTCTTGGGATTCTCACACCAATCATGTGAGTGGTGAGGTTGGAATTTCTTTACAAATAAGGAATTTTTTGGTTTGTCTGTTTACTTTGGCTGTGCTGTGTCTCCGTTGCTGCATGCAGGCCTTCTCTAGTTGTGCTGAGCAGGGGCCCCTTTCATGGGCTCCGGGGCACCCAGGCTTCAGCAGTCCTAACACACGGGCTCAGGCGTTGCCATGCAGACTCCAGAGTGCAGGCTCATTCTTGTGGCACAGGCTTAGTTGCCCTGCGGCAGGTGAAATCTTCCCAGACCAGGGACTGAAGCCATGGTCTCCTCCATTAGCAGGCAGATTCTTAACCACTGGGCCATCAGGGAAGTCCACAAATGAGGAAAAGACACAGAGAGGCAAAGTACATGCGCAGGAAGTACGATAGACAAGTATGACAGCCCAAGTCAGAAGCCATGCCCTTTTCTTATTTAAAGTTCAAAGAGGGAGCCACAAACACTTCAGAAATTATGATCAAAAACCAAAATGGGGAAGAAACAACCAGAACTGGGGAAAATCCAGAAATAAAAAATGTATCATTAAAAGTAGAAAGCCTGAGATCCAGTGCCTTTTCTTTTTCCTTTGTTTAATTTCATATTGTTTTCACATTATATGCCCTTCACCACATTTATTTACAGTATCCAAGTTGATTCTTCAGTTCAAATGATAAACAAATACTTGAATCCTTGGGATCTCAGCAGTAAACATTTTCTAGTGGAGAAGGCAATGGCACCCCACTCCAGTACTCTTGCCTGGAAAATCCCATGGATGGAGGAGCCTGGTAGCCTGTGGTCCATGGAGTCGCTAAGAGTCAGACACGACTGAGCGACTTCACTTTCACTTTTCACTTTCATGCTTTGGAGAAAGAAATGGCAACCCACTCCAGTATTCTTGCCTGGAGAATCCCAGGGACGGGCGAGCCTGGTGGGCTGCCGTCTATGGGGTCACACAGAGTTGGACACGACTGAGGTGACTTAGCAGCAGCAGCAAAGAACTAGACATAAAGTTACAGAATCGTCACTTATATCACAACTATGTATCTATCTCTTATTAGGTGCTTCTTTATTAATCCATTTTCTATTTTCTTTTAGTGGTTAGTGATTTTAAAAAACACCAAATTTTTTTATATATACCTGCATTTGGGGGAACAGTACCAAAGTATAATTAGGGGGATTGTTTCATACTGCAGCCAGCCTCAGGGAACAGGGACATTGAGAAACTTCAGTGGATGATGTCAATTTCAAAAAGAAAAATGAGATAATCATTTATTCTAACTCAAAGAAGTCAGTTCAAAGGTCAGGAGATAAAGATTTTATTACTAGATGTGTTAGTTAAATGTGTGATTCTGAGCAAGACTGTCTTAATTTCTTTTGTTTTCTTTTCATTAGATACAAAATAAAGGAGTTTTATGAGATTATTTGTAAGGTCCTTTCCAGTGTGTAAATTTCAGGATTAAGAGAAACACTTAGAAGTTGACAGGATTCCTCTAGGGACCAGGAAAAAGTATTTTTATTTTAAATCCTTTAATAGTAGTTGATTGCTTTTAGCTGTGGTGTGTATTTTTAAAATTCTATGCTCATTCCAAAATGAATTTGAACAACTGTATATCTTGTTTCAGTGTCCAACTTAGCCTTTAAGCGAATAATGCTTCTTACAGTTTTAGTTTGGTGTGTTCTTTAAAATGCCTCTTATAAGCTTATAAGACTGTCAAATAAAGTTTATCACCATTGTAGAAATATGTAATATTCATATATTTAAAATCTGTATAGATTTGTAGTCTCTATTTATAAAGATGACTTGAAAGCCATTCTGTCTAAGCAAAATAGTCTCCTAAATAAGTTGTTAAATCTTTAAATAATTAGTAATTTATTTTGTGGTTATTGGTATAGTCACAATAAATCTACATAGTCTTGTAATTATTTTTTCAAAAGAACTCTTAAAATGAAGTTACCTTAACTGTACCTAGTGTTCCCTGAATATTTTAATTCAGAGAATTAAATTTTATTCAATCCAAGAGCTTCTTATAATCCTTCACATTCTTCAGTCTTGGATGCTGCCAAGATTCTGTCTTAGAATCTTTTTAATCTCCTTTCTTCCCCAAAAGTGTTTAAACTACCTACATAAGTACATATGGTATGAAAATAAAAGTATGTAAATTAGAATGAAAACAAAAGTAAAATAAGAATGGGAAAGATAAGATGAAGCTGCATGTAAATGAACATGCCAGCAGATATAGATCATGAATGGAGATCTAAGCTGTCCAGTGTGGGACACGTAATTCACAGGGTCAAAGGTACATCCTAGTCTCTTTCTTAAGCTAATGGTATATTAAATGGTATATTAAATTAAGATGCAGTTAGCATCTTATCTTTTAACGGTTCCTTTTTCTTAGGAAAGAAGCCGAACTGGAGGAAAGTAATGCTGCTCATACTCAGGCCACCTTGCTTTTGCAAGAAAAACATAACAGTACAGTGCAGAACCTGGAAGATGTTACTGCTCAGTTTGAAAGGTATTTTAATGGGGAGGCTGCTCTCTCAAATATACATGAGCAGGCAAGGGGTATTTATCTAGGGACATCTGTCAGCAAAACTACATGAATAAAACAATTGTTATTACTTTAAATTCCACAATGCCCAATCATAAGTGGGTATTTCATGTTATCTGTAGTCTTAGAATATGTAGTGATATCCCTCTCCCAGTACCCACTTCAGATTTCATACACATCTGTCTGACTCTCCTGACGTCATCATTTTCTTCACAAAGAATCCAAACGCTTTTATTTCCACTTCATGGAACCTATAAATGTACCTGCATCTATGCTCACCCTATCTTCTTCCCTCCTATTACAGATGAGGTATCTCATTCCTTAACCTTTAGTGGCCTCTTTCCGTCGTTCATCCCTTATCTCTTAATTTTCAACCTTCTAGAATTTTTCCAGTCAGTATTAAAACATGTTAATGTGCCTTTGTCTTTAAAATACATCTTTTTTAAATCTCCCTTCACCCCCCACTTCTTTCTGCACTTTTCATTCCCAATACCGTTCTTACCCCCAAATCCTCCTCATGTTTATAGCCCATCTTTTTTTCTTTAATTTACTTTATTGAAGTATAATTGATTTATAGTGTGGTAATTTCTACTGTACATATTCTTTTGTACACATTTTGTACATAATCCTGTGTACACATTCCTTTACATATTCTTTTCCATTATGGTTTATTTCAAGATATTGAATATAGTTGCCTATACTGTACAGTAGGACTTTGTTGTTTATTCATCCTATATATAGTAGTTTATATTTATAGTTTATAATATAATCTCATAGCCCATCTTCTTGATAGATATTATAATGTATCTACTTCCTATCCAGTCTACTTATTTTCCCTTTTTTAAAAAAAGTTTATTTTGGAGGGCACTACAAATTACAAAGGATAATACAGCAAACACTAGTACATCACACAGTCTCACATTGCGTGTATTAATGTTAACATTTTTATTTACTGTATTTATATAATTTTGGATGGAGGGCTCTTCTTTTATCTATTTTAGTATATTCAATAAAAAGATACAATGTGTACATAAATCCTAAATCATAAAGGTAAAATTAACATTCATGAGCTCATAGAAGAAAATCTATAAACCAAAAGAGTTTCAACAGTTGCTGTCTCTATGAATCCTCCACTGTCCCGTCTTCATTCCTCCCCGCAACATGTAACACCACCTCAAAATCTACATCAGTTACTTCCTTGCTTTTTTCCTGTGTATAATTTTATAATGTATGTCCATATGAATAATATATTACCTAATTTTGCTTTTTCCAGAACTTCACCAAAAATGTCCTGGTAGTGTATGCCATATCCTGGGACTTGCCTTTTCACTCTGCATTATATATGTCTTTAGGGTTGAATCACAGTATTGCCTGAGGCTATAGTTTGTTCATGGTCACTGTTATAGAATTGTTGTTCAGTCACTTAGTCATGTCCAACTCTTTGCAACCTCATGGACTGCAGCATACCAGCCTTCCCTGTCCTTCACTATCTCCTACAGTTTGCTCAGACTCATGTCAATTGAGTTGATACCATCCAACCATCTCATCCTCTGTTATAGAATATTTGATCTTATCAGTCTACCACTATTTATCCATTCTCACTTTGGGCTTTTGGTTTGTTTCCCATTTCTTTCATTTTATTAACAGTATTGTGAATATTCTTGTGGTCTCGTCTTATATACCTGTAAGAATTACTCTAAAGTCACATTTAAATGAATGTTCAACTTTAATTCCAAATCATTTTACAAAGGGGAGGTGAAAATCTACACTCCCACTAGTGATATTTGAGTTCTCATTCATCTACGTCCTCTCCAAAACTTGTTAGACTTCATAAATTTTGCCAGTATACTAAATGTAAAAGGACCTCTTCTTGTGGATAATTCATTTTTCCTTTTCTGTGAAAAGCTTATATGTGACTTTTGTTCATTTCTCTAGAGGATTATCTTTTCTTGGTTGATTTGTAGGGTTTTTATCAGCGATATGGGTGGCAAATATCTTACAGAATGTGGCTTATCTTTTCATTTTCTTTATGGTTTCCTGTGATGAATGGCAATTCTTGATTTTAGTGTAGTTAAACTTATCGAGTTTTATGTGAACACTTTTGCATACAAAAACTTCTCTCTATCCCAAGAACTTAAATAAAGATATTCACCTATTTTTTTTTCTAAATTTCAAAATTGTACTTTTCATTTTTCCACCTAGAACTGATTTCTGTATGTGTAGTGATAAGGGGATAAAATTCACATTTCTTTTTCCAAATGAATAATCAGTTACCATGGATAATCAATTGCCTAGTACCCGTTCATTAACTAGTACCTTCTAATCTCAGTGATGTGTTCCTGCATCTGATCTGATATATTTTGACATACGTATCATATATATATATGTATGTGTGTGTATGTTTGTTTGTGTGTATATATATGTTTTGTTTTGTTTTAAGTTTTTGGCCATGCTGTGTGACATGTGGGATTTTAGTTCCCCAACCAGGATCAGACTCATTCCCCCTACAGCGGAAGTGCAGAGTGTTAACCTCTGGCCGGCTGGGGAAGTCCCTATATATTTTAATTTTTATATGTCAGCATGCATATAAATTTATATATATTTGACAAACCTAGACAGCATATTAAAAAGCAGAGACATTACTTTGCCAACAAAGATCCGTGTAGTCAAAGCTTTGGTTTTTCCAGTAGTCATGTATGGATATGTGAGTTCGACCATAAAGAAGGCTGAGCACTGACAAATTGATGCTTTTGAACTGTGGTGTTGGAAAAGACTCTTGAGAGTCTGTTGGACTGCAAGATCAAACCGGTGAATCCTGAAGGAAACCAACCCTGCATATTGTTTGGAAGAACTGATGCTGAAGCTCCAGTACTTTGGCCACCTGTGACAAAGAGCCGACTCATTAGAAGAGACTGTGATGTGGGAATGATTGAGGGCAGGAGAAGGGAACAAAAGGGGACAAGATGATTGGATGGCATCATTGACTCAATGGACATGAGTTTGAGCAAGCTCCAGGAAATGGTGAAGGACAGGGAAGCCTGTAGTGCTGTAGTCCATGGGGTCACAAACAGCTGGACACAACTGAACAACTATATACATATATAACTTTTAGTGCTGTTCTCAACTCTGAAAAGAGATTTTCCTTCTTGCTACTTTGAAAGCTAGTGCCTTTAGAGACTTTTAGTTACTCTGTGATGTCAGTCACCATTAGTATGTGAGTAGCATTAAAATTTTATTTCTTCGAACCCGACCTCTCCTTTCATCCTCTACCCGTATATTCAGCTGCCTACTTGACTTCAAGTAGATCTCTCACCATCATCTGGTATTAACCCCACCAAAACAACTCTGGGTCATCTTTGTCTCCCTTTGTCCCTCTTGTGTCTCATTCTTATTGATTGCAGTTGGTGACATCTCTATCTTCTGAGTTTCTCCTTCCATAAATCTTGAGTCATCATAATCATCTTCTCTCCTTTTCTCCCAACATTCAGTCTCTTTCTTGATTTTTTTCCATTCTGCCTCCAAAAGAGATCTCACATCTTTCTTTTGCCAGCTCCTTGGTCCAAGCCTCCTTTACCACTCACCTGGGCTGAAAAATAATCACCCTCAGGTTAATCCTCCAGTTCAGCATTCCTGTCCCTCCCCAGTCATTTCTTTGCATATCTCTGGAATAATCTACACACTTACTTAAGAGACCTTTGAAGTATGTCCTTTATCATTCAGGTAAGCCCACTGTGCCCCACCAGCAAGGACTCATGCCTCTTGTTTCTGCTCCTGCCTCTCTTGTTCATTAGACTCCTGTCACAGCTCTTTTTTTTTTCTTTTTTTTTTTAATGGTTAAGATTTTATTTATGTAGTTTTGGCTGTGCTGGGTTTTCGTGGCTGTGCGGGCCTTTCTCTCGTTGCAGTGAGTGGGGGCTGCTGTAACTGCAGTGCGCGGGCTTATCAATGAGGTAGCTGTTCTTGCTGAGGAGCGTGGGCTCTGGGGCCCTTGAGTTCAGTAGTTACAGCACAGGCTCAGTAGTTGTGGCCACAGGCTTAGTTGCTCCACAGCATGTGGGGTCTTCCCCAGACCGGGGATTGAACCCATGTCTCCTGCATTGACAGGCGGATTCTTTACCACTGAGCCACCAGGCAAGCCCCATTCCCAACTCTTAATGGACTGTGTTCTACCTGCCTCTGAGCATATACGCATCTTTTCCCCCTGAAATACTTTCCCCAATTGGCTCGCTAAATCCTTCTTACCCATCATATCTCAACTGAACTGTAAATTCCTCAGAAAAGCCTTTTCTGAATCATGAAGCAAAATGTAGGTTCTCCAGTTTTATCAGCTAATAGGTTCTGTAGTTTTCCTTCAAACACTTAGAACAAAGTTAATTATGTATTTATTTTTCCTTTTATTTTGCAACAACCTGAAGAGGCATTTTTTTCTCTCTCTTACTCTCAGGATAATAAAGTATGACAGTAGGTAGAGGGATTGTGTGGGTTTTTTGTTTTGAGGTAATTTCCATGTTTGGTAGTTGATTTCTTTTCATATTTGTTCATAGATTCCGCCCATAGTAGGCACTTGACTCTTTTCTTTAAAGGAACTGCGTAAGTCATATAAGTTCATGTTAAGTATTAAGTTGACTTTTGAAGTCACATTGAATTTTTACCTGTGCAAATGTGAAAATAGATAAGGTTTTGTTTGTTTTACCTAAAAGTGTATAAAATGTAAACCAATCATCTATAGATTTGTCATGCATACATTAGTTAGAAAAATCCTTTACCCTTTTTTTTTTTTTTTAAATAAGCTATAAAACATCAACAGCAAGTGAGCTAGAAGATCTTAAGGTGCAGAATGAGTCACTTAAGGAAAAACTGGCCAAGGCTGAGCACAGTGCAGAGGATGCCCGAGATCAGATATTGGCAACTGAGAACTCAAATCAAGAATATGCAAGGTATGTAGGAGAAATAAAACCTGCCCACACCTGTGGTCTTAGAACCATTAGGACAATTGGATGTTGCTGCTAGCCAGCTACTAAGTGATGCAGAAAACTAGTCCCGTGGCTTGCTTTCGATGATCTTCAGTGGTGAATTATGATTTTACATAGTTTGAAAAGTATAATTCTTAACAGTTCTTTGAGATTCTTTTTTTTAAAAAGGTAATTGAAATGGCTATAACTTTCTTAATGGACTCTTCTCTCTCAAACCCAAGGATGCTTCTAGATCTGCAGACCAAATCAGCACTTAAAGAAGCAGAAATTAAAGAAATTACAGTTTCTTCTCTTAAAAGAATAACTGATTTGCAGAACCAACTCAAGCAACAAAGCGAAGACTTTAAGAAACAACTGGAAGAGGAAGAAGCAAGGTAATCTCGGTTGAAAACTGAAATGCCATGCGTCTCGAGTTATTTTTTCTAGTATACTGTGTTTTTAAATTTAATTTTCCCTTACAGAAAAACTGCTGGGAAAGAAAACTCAATAGCAGAATTAACTGAGGAAATGAATAAGTGGCGTCTCCTCTATGAAGAATTATATAATAAAACAAAGCCTTTTCAGGTCTGTCAATTAGGACTTAACTTATTTGTATTTGAGAATTTGTATTGTTCCCTGTCACAGGCGTGACAGTGACATGGTTCTTCTGAAAGATCATTTTGCTGTGCATTTACAGCGCCAGTCTAACTTCCAATTACGGAAGGTTTCTTATAGATGTTACTACATTATTATGCATACATTTTTAATATGGCCTTTATAGGCCTAAATATTACCCCTTAATAAGATTCTTAAAAGTTAATACCTTAGAAGGCTCTCCTGATATGAACTTTTGATAATCTATATAAATTTATGACACTTATTTTGTGAGAAAGATCATCTTTCTCAGTGTTGCTCTAATTAACACTTAAAGGATAAATGCAAATCTGGGTATTTAGAGTCAGAAGACAGTATTGGTTATAATGTGTTGTGGTGATACAGATTAGGCCAGCTAGCAGGTCTTTCCCTGTTTTTTTCTTTCTGTTTCATTGATCTTTGAAATGAAAAACAACTTTTTATTTAAAAAAAAAAAAGGAGAGCCCTAAGAGTAAGTCAATATAATCTATTTTTGTCTTTTGCCTTTTTTGTTGTTGTAGTTGTTGAGTTTCTTATTTAAATATTTATTTACTTATTTGGCTGCACCAGGTCTTAACTGCAGCATGTGGGATCTAGTTCCCCAACCAGGGATCAAACCTTGCCCCCTGCATGGGGAGCCTGCAGTCTTCTGCAGTCTTAGCCACTGGACCACCAGGGAAGTCCTGTCTTTTGCCTTTTTACTTTCTTTCACTTTAGTTTTCCTTATAGTTAATATGAGTCAAGTAGTATTTAATAGTTTTAAGTCTAAACTTCACAAAAAATCTTTTTCAGCTACAACTGGATGCATTTGAAGCAGAGAAACAGGCTTTGTTGAATGAACATGGTGCGGCTCAGGAACAACTAAATAATCTAAGAGATTCATATGCTAAATTATTGGGTCATCAGAATCTAAAGCAAAAAATCAAGCATGTTGTGAAACTGAAAGATGAAAACAGCAATCTCAAATCGGTTTGTAAAGTAGCATTTATTTCTATTGATATTGGGGTGGATGGTTTTTATTTTATCAGGATAATGCTGACCTCATAAAATGAGTTGGGAAGTGTTTCACCCTTTCTATTTATGGAGCGGTCCGTGAATTACTGGTTTTAACTCTTTACTGAACGTGCAATGGGATTCAGTGGTACCGGCGTCTGGACCTGGACTCCTCTCTGTGGGTGGCTTTTGATCAGCAGTTCAGTCTCTTCACTTATTATACTAGGTCTATTCAAACTGACTCTTTCAGCTCAAAACCTATGGGATGCAGCAAAAGCAGTTCTAAGAGGGAAGTTTATAGCAATACAATCCTACCTCAGATTGACTATTTCTTCTTGAGACAGTTTCAGTAGTTTGTGTCTCTCTAGGAATATGTCCATTTCATTTTCTGATGTGTTGATTCACAATTGTGTGCCATACCCCCTTATATTCCTTTTTATTTTGATACTGTCAGTAGCAGTGGCCCCTCTTTCATTTCTGATCCTAGGAATTTTGAGTCTACTCCCTTTTTTTAAAGTTCCTTTACTTCTGCAAACATGTTTATAATGGCTTTAAACCCTTTTTTGGATAAGTTCAATATTGGATAACTCCCAGTTTTTGTTGAGACAGAAACAAGCAGTTTTTGTTGCCTGCTTTTCCCCAGTATGTAAATCATGCTTTTCTGTTTGCATACTTTGTACTTTTTCTGTTAGAAAATGGATGTTTTAGACAATGTATTGTAGCACCTCTGGGTACTGCTGTCCCCTTGCAGATATGTTGTTATTTTTTTGTTTAGTGAAGTCTATTCTTCCTCCCTACAGAGGCACAAACTAGTGCCTCTGATGTTGCTGCTGAGAGAGGTTCAGTGTCAGGTGTGTCCATTCACCCTGAGATGACTCTGGTTTGGGTAAGGCTGCCTCCCTCTCTCCCTGATCACACATAGTTGCTGGCTCCCCTCTGTTATTTTCAACATTGCCCAAGGTCATAAATTCCTCTACAGATTAATCCAGTCTAATTCTGGTTCCTTTGTTGGAATTGTGTCTTAGGTCAGTGATTGACTTTGTTCTGGCTAGAGGAGGTCCCCTCCCACGTGTCTTTTTCACCACTTCTCTTCTACAAACTAGGCAATTTACAGTTTAGCCCAGTTTTTAATCACTTCCCATTCCCTTGCACCACACAGCCTCTACTGTTCTTAAGGGCACCCTTTAGCTTGAACTGCTCTAAATTCTGTTGTAAATGAAGTCACTTGCTCTGGGAATAAATTCAGTTCAGTTCAGTCACTCAGTTGTGTCCGACTCTTTGTGACCCCATGAACCATAGCACGGCAAGCCTCCCTGTCCATCGCAAACTCCTGGAGTTTACTTAAACTCATGCCCATCGAGTTGGTGAAGCCATCCAGCCATCTCATCCTGTCGTCCCCTTCTCCTCCTGCCCCCAATCCCTCCCATCAACAGGGTCTTTTCCAATGAGTCAACTCTTCACATAAAGTGGCCAAAGTATTGGAGTTTCAGCTTCAGCATCAGTCCTTCCAGTGAACACCCAGGACTTATCTCCTTTAGGATGGGCTGGTTGGATCTCCTTGCAGTCCAAGGGACTCTCAAGAGTCTTCTCCAACACCACAGTTCAAAAGTATCAATTCTCTGGTGCTCAGCTTTCTTCACAGTCCCAACTCTCACATCCATACATGACCACTGGACAAACGATAGCCTTGACCAAACAGACCTTTGTTGGCAAAGTAATGTCTCTGCTTTTTATTTTTTATTTTTTTATTTTTTTTCATTTATTTTTATTAGTTGGAGGCTAATCCCTTTACAATACCGCAGTGGGTCTTGTCATACATTGACATGAATCAGCCATGGATTTACATGTATTCCCCATCCCGATCCCTGCTCCCACCTCCCTCTCTACCCAGTCCCTCTGGGTCTTCCCAGTGTACCAGGCCCGAGCACTTGTCTCATGCATCAAACCTGGGCTGGTGATCTCTTTCACTATAGATAATATACATGTTTCAATGCTGTTCTCTTGAAACATCCCACCCTCGCCTTCTCCCACAGAGTCCAAAACTCTGTTCTGTACATCTGTGTCTCTTTTTCTGTTTTGCATATAGGGTTATCATTACCATCTTTCTAAATTCCATATATATGTGTTAGTATGCTGTAATGTTCTTTATCTTTCTGGCTTACTTCACTCTGTATAATGGGCTCCAGTTTCATCCATCTCATTAGAACTGATTCAAATGAATTCTTTTTAATGGCTGAGTAATATTCCATTGTGTATATGTACAACAGCTTCCTTATCGATTCGTCTGCTGTTGGGCATCTAGGTTGCTTCCATGTCCTGGCTATTATAAACAGTGCTGCGATCAACATTGGGGTGCACGTGTCTCTTTCAGATCTGGTTTCCTCGGTGTGTATGCCCAGGAGTGGGATTGCTGGGTCATATGGCAGTTCTATTTCCAGTTTTTTAAAAATCTCCATACTCTTCTCCATAGTGGCTGTACTAGTTTGCATTCCCACCAACAGTGTAAGAGGGTTCCCTTTTCTCCACACCCTCTCCAGCATTTATTGCTTGTAGCCTTTTTGATAGCAGCCATCCTGACTGGCATGTAATGGTACCTCATTGTGGTTTTGATTTGCATTTCTCTGATGATGAGTGATGTTGAGCATCTTTTCATGTGTTTGTTAGCCATCTGTATGTCTTCTTTGGAGAAATGTCTGTTTAGTTCTTTGGCCCATTTTTTGATTGGGTCATTTATTTCTCTGGAATTGAGCTGGAGGAGTTGCTTGTATATTTCTGAGATTAATCCTTTGTCTGTTGCTTTGTTTGCTATTATTTTCTCCCATTCTGAAGGCTGTCTTTTCACCTTGCTTATAGTTTCCTTTGTTGTGCAAAAGCTTTTAAGTTTCATTAGGTCCCGTTTGTTTATTTTTGCTTTTATTTCCAATATTCTGGGAGGTGGGTCATAGAGGATCCTGCTGTGATTTATGTCGGAGAGTGTTTTGCCTGTGTTCTCCTCTAGGAGTTTTATAGTTTCTGGTCTTATATTTAGATCTTTAATCCATTTTGAGTTTATTTTTGTGTATGGTGTTAGAAAGTGTTCTAGTTTCATTCTTTTACAGGTGGTTGACCAGTTTTCCCAGCACCACTTGTTAAAGAGTTGTCTTTCTTCCATTGTATATCCTTGCCTCCTTTGTCGAAGATAAGGTGTCCATAGGTTTGTGGATTTATCTCTAGGCTTTCTATTCTGTTCCATTGATCTATATTTCTGTCTTTGTGCCAGTACCATACTGTCTTGATGACTGTGGCTTTGTAGTAGAGCCTGAAGTCAGGCAGGTTGATTCCTCCAGTTCCATTCTTCTTTCTCAAGATTACTTTGGCTATTCGAGGTTTTTTGTATTTCCTTACAAATTGAGAAATTATTTGTTCTAGTTCTGTGAAAAATACTGTTGGTAGCTTGATAGGGATTGCATTGAATCTATAGATTGCTTTGGGTAGAATAGCCATTTTGACAATATTGATTCTTCCAATCCATGAACACGGTATGTTTCTCCATCTGTTTGTGTCCTCTTTGATCTCTTTCATCAGTGTTTTATAGTTTTCTATGTATGGGTCTTTTGTTTCTTTAGGTAGATTTACTCCTAAGTATTTTATTCTTTTTGTTGCAATGGTGAATGGTATTGTTTCCTTAATTTCTGTTTTCTTATTGTTAGTGTATAGGAATGCAAGAGATTTCTGTGTGTTAATTTTATATCCTGCAACTTTACTATATTCGTTGATTAGCTCTAGTAATTTTCTGGTAGAGTCTTTAAGGTTTTCTATGTAGAGGATCATGTCATCTGCAAACAGCGAGAGTTTCACTTCTTCTTTTCCTATCTGGATTCCTTTTACTTCTTTTTCTGCCCTGATTGCTGTGGCCAACACTTCCAAAACTATGTTGAATAGTAGTGGTGAGAGTGGGCACCCTTGTCTTGTTCCTGATTTCAGGGGAAATGCTTGCAATTTTTCACCATTGAGGGTAATGCTTGCTGTGGGTTTGTCATATAGAGCTTTTATTATGTTTAGGTATGTTCCTTCTATTCCTGCTTTCTGGAGAGTTTTAATCATAAATGGGTGTTGAATTTTGTCAAAGGCTTTCTCTGCATCTATTGAGATAATCATATGCTTTTTATCTTTCAACTTGTTAATGTGGTGTATTACACTGATTGCTTTGCAGATATTAAAGAATCCTTGCATTCCTGGTATAAAGCCCACTTGGTCATGGTGTATGATTTTTTAATATGTTGTTGGATTCTGTTTGCTAGAATTTTGTTAAGGATTTTTGCATCTATGTTCATCAGTGATACTGGCCTGTAGTTTTCTTTCTTTGTGGCATCTTTGTCTGGCTTTGGAATTAGGGTGATGGTGGCCTCATAGAATGAGTTTGGAAGTTTACCTTCTTCTGCAATTTTCTGGAAGAGTTTGAGTAAGATAGGTGTTAGCTCTTCTCTAAATTTTTGGTAGAATTCAGCTGTGAAGCCATCTGGTCCTGGGCTTTTGTTTGCTGGAAGATTTCTGATTACAGTTTCGATTTCCTTGCTTGTGATGGGTCTGTTAAGATCTTCTATTTCTTCCTGGTTCAGTCTTGGAAAGTCATACTTTTCTAAGAATTTGTCCATTTCTTCCAAGTTGTCCATTTTATTGGCATAGAGCTGCTGGCAGTAGTCTCTTATGATCCTTTGTATTTCAGTGTTGTCTGTTGTGATCTCTCCATTTTCATTTCTAATTTTGTTAATTTGGTTCTTATCCCTTTGTTTCTTAATGAGTCTTGCTAATGGTTTGTCAATTTTGATGATTTCTTCAAAAAACCAGCTTTTAGCTTTGTTGATTTTTGCTATGGTCTCTTTAGTTTCTTTTGCATTTATTTCTGCCCTAATTTTTAAGATTTCCTTCCTTCTACTAACCCTGGGGTTCTTCATTTCTTCCTTCTCTAGTTGCTTTAGGTGTAGAGTCAGGTTATT